GTGGGCCACTAGCTTGTGCGGGCCACTAACTTGTGGATTACGTTATAAGCTATATTTACTGCCCTAAAGTATATTAACAGCTTTTCTCCTCTTTTAATCTAACTTTTTTTAGATTCTTTCCGCTAAAATATATCCGCAATATTAGCACTTTCTAAAACGTGGGACCTTTTAAGAACAACCCGCTAATTTTAGCACTTTTAGAGGTAGTAGCTATATTCCCCTTTATTAAAAAACCTAACTTTATTAACGTATTCTATAAGCGAGCCGTCCACCTAAGTAAGCCGTCTACTTTATTATAAAAACCGGCCTTAAACGTTAATTGCTCTACAACGCTAATAGATATTAACTATATATAACTTATAGCCTAATTTACAGCAACCTCTATATTATTTTTGCACGTATAAATATTATGCCCTAGCTTGCCGCAGCGTTTATAGCGCCGCGCGCTCCCGCTAGAATCTGCCCTACCTTGCTACCTTTTACTTTAGGCGTCCTTATTAAGCCTTTAAGCAGCTATTTAAGAGCCTGCTTCTATTATTAGAGTTTCTTTTTTCTAGATCCGCTTTTTTTTGCGCGCCTTACGCTTTATAGCGGCTTTATTTACCTTTTAAAGGCTGGCAACTATATTACGCAGTAGTATAGCTTAATATATTATTATTGCAGCACCTTTAGAAAGGCTGCTAAGCGCATTAAGAATTGCTATAGGCGAGCTATTTTAATACCTTTAAATATAATTATAAATTAAAGCTAATTAAGAGCCTAGCTTATAAGCGTTGCTTAGTGTTTTTAATTCCTATTAAGCTTTTACTATAGCAGAAGGCAATAGTATATAAAGCCGAATATTAAGCTTTAAAAGTACTGCCTTTAGATTAAGCAGTATAAGGCCTGCGCCTTAAAAGCCTGCGTAAATATTGCTTTTTATAATTAAGTTATAGAAGGCTGCTTTAAATACTAGTAAAAACTCTAGCTTTATAATATAGTTAATATAGTAGCGTATTAAGTCCTTAATTTAGCGCCCGTATACCTTTTTTAATAGCGTAAAGCAGCTAATATTAAGCGGCTGCAGCAGGTGCGATAAATACGCTGGTATATAGAGAGTAATAATATTATTCTCCTTATAAATCTTTTTAAATTTAAGCGAGCGGTGGCTCTTATAGCTATTAATAATTAGCAGCTAATACGTGCCTATAGTGTAATCCTTTATATACTTATTAAAATACTGCAGCCAGGCAATACTAAGCTTATTTATTATCTAGCTATTATTACTTACTACTATAACCTAGTTTAGTAGTATATTATTACCCTTATACTATATAAAAAGGTAGTACTTACCCGAAAAGATAATAAATAGCAGGATAGCCTATTTATAGGCATTAACTTCTTAGATTATTATTATCTATTTGCAATTGCCTGGCTGTATTAATTTTAGATAATTGCACTGCTTAAAGCCTATTATAACCACGCTAGTTAAAATAACGCCTATTTAGAAGCTAGCTTTATTAAAGTTATATATATCTTTATCTAGAATACTATACTTTGCTTTTATATTGCGTATAAGCTTAAACTAATTGCTAATTACCTTTAGATCCTTATATAAAGCTTTCTAATAATTATACTTTTAATTAAATTATGTTTTAAGCTTAGGTGTTCGCATAATAAAGTTCTCTGGCCAGTTCTTACCAACATGGCCGGCGGCGCGCTCGGCGAGCAATTTGTTGGCCATCTCTCGTATAGTATATAGGTTGGGCGGAAATCCTCGCGAATCCAGGTCGAGTATATGTTGAACAACAACTAATTCCTCCAGCTTGGAAAGCTTCTTCGAATTAGGCTCAGAATCGCGTCGTGGGGTCGTTCCAGCGTGTCACGATAGCGCTACACGCGAGAGGTCGAGGGCTTAAAGAGGAGCGTTGATTAGGTGCTATGTACAATGCTACGTGGAGAATCAAGACGTTGTGTAAGG